GGGATATGAACCGGCAACATTCCAGCCACAGGTGCAGATCCTTAACCACAGAGCCACTGCTCCGCCCATCTCACTTTGGAGTGATACGTTCTTGGAACTGAAAAATTTTGAATTACAAAGAACATATATTGTTTATAATATATGGACTGTGACATTTCCTTCTATTCCCAAAGAGCGAAGGGATATAAGAACATAAAGACACCAGAAAGGCTACAAACTGGGCTTTCTGCCTTGTGGAGTTGCTAGTAGCTGATTGACCCGAGGAACTCATCCAGCTGTATCATGAGAGACGCCAGGATATCAACTTCAACAATGTGGCTGGGCAGCTTGTTCCACAGTCCCACAACCCTTTTGGGCAAAAAAAGTGACTCTTGTTCTCTTACATACTTCCGTTCAAACACTTATGTCAGTCAGCTGTCTCGCCTGAAGGGACACAGATAGCTCACATGCTGTGAGCACTCTGTTTCAGGGCCAGGCGGTCATGTCTTTGAAATCATTAAGTGTGTAAATTAGTTAAGAGCTTTTTCAAGTGGCTACAACCCAGACTTCACTCGTTTGAACCCGGTCTCTGCCAAAGGGGCTGAATTCAAAGTCCCTTACATGTGTATCCATTTTACACATCTGGGTTTTTTATTACTGGCAGTCATTCAAGTGATGAATCAGGAGCAGAACTGCTGAATCTCACCTGGGACATGAACCCACAACCTTACAGTTACAGAACCCTAACCACTACTCTACATCGGATTCCTCAACTGGCAGCACACTCTGGGCCAAGTAACCTTAGCCTTGGTGTGGCCAGTGACAGCTGCACTATTCCACCGATTGATAATGACTCTTTTGTAACTCTTCTGACTGTGTGATTTCAGGGGAAAGCAGGCACTTTCCTAATTCCACTCTGGCTGGTATAGGAAGCCTAGGAATAACACAGAGTTTGCAGAGGGAGAAGCACAGTATGAGGGACATCTCATACTGTGAGAAATGTTAAAAATGCCCTCTGTAGTGCTCAAATCAAATAGCACAAAAGAATGCCGTCAAATGGCTGGATGTGACCTTCAGATCAATTAATCACTAGAACCACCTCGTACTGTATAAAAGAAGTATTATTCTCTTGTTTGGGTGCTGTGTCAGAACCTGCAGAGCACGGAAAACATCCTTTGTGCTGGCTGTAAAGCTCCTGTTGGAACTCTTCACATGTCTGATGTGAAGCACGGTTACAGGCACAAAATCAAGTCTGGCAAAAAAGCAGAATTAAGGAAAATCTGAGGGTTGCTGGTGTGTGGAGTGTAACTGGCTGTTCCCATCAAGCATCAAGCAGCAAAGGGCAGAAATTTAACTTCTAAAGAAAGGTTTGCACCAGCCATTTTCAATCGGGGGACCTTCCTATCAGATAAATCTGACTGAACCAACTTGTAGAAAATACAGGCGAAAAATACAGTGAACGGTTCCAATCTTCAAACTCATTCTAGTATATGTAGATCATAGAAATTTATCTCTATGTATCCAAGATAACTTTTCATCTGGGAAATACTGTTAGTGCCAACAACAGCCTTGCCTGCTGTTTCCCAGTCCATATGTCCGTTAATATTCCATGTTTGGCACCAATTCTAGACCTCCTGAAAGAACATTACAAAAGTCCCAAGCAGAGCCAAACAAAAACACACCGCCGGTCACAAACCTCAAACCGTTTCTGTTGCCAGCTTGTCTTATGCAAGGAGCCTCTTCCTGGTATCCAAATGACATCCCCCAGCAGACAGGGGGTTTGTAGTTTGCAGAGGGCATGTGAGTATTGGTTTGATCTGGGCCAAAGACAGATTATAAAAGGGTACAGCCCTTGTACAGTACAACACTGAAGCACAGAAAAAAATTATTGACTTTCAGATTAATATGATTAGAATGACCAAATTGCAGTATGCATTGAGGTTAAGGAGGTACATGCAGGTAAAGGACTCTGTCCTTTATGTCTAGCGTTGAGGAAATTATGTACTGTATTTACAGAGACTGCCACTCCAGAGAGATGCCTTCCTTCCTCTCGTTAAAGGTGTCTGAGAAGGCTTCACGTGACCTCTGCAGGAAGAGTTGCACAGAAGCCTGAAATCTTTCTTGTTGTGAGCTCCCTTATGGTGAGCAGGTTCCTGTGAGACACCTTATCTCCAGCAAACGCCTGACCCGCACACCAGCTCCCATTCTGTCCTGCTTTTCCTGCATTTTGGCTTCTCATCTGTCCCATCGCCAACAAAGACCGCCATCACGGGCGACTCCAGCATTTGAATTTGGCTGATGCCTTTATCCGAAGTGATTTCTCCAATTCAGGGTTGTGGGGGAGCCCGAGCCCATCCTGGCAAGCACCAGGAGCAGGTACCCCCTGGATGGGACACCGGTCTGTCACACACAGGGCACACACTGATACAAACACACACACACTCACGCCAGGGCCACTTTTCCAGGAAGACATGGTGGGTCTTTGGACTGTGAGAGGAAACCCACAGAGAGAACATATAAAGCACCCCAGGCCCAGAACTGAACTCAAGGCTGCACCCCTGTTTATACTCTGGGATTTTTACTGGAACAACGCAAATGGAGTTTGTGAAGGTGCAACAGCAGTTTTTCGCTTGGGATTCTACCCACAACCTTCCTGTTGCATGTCCAGAACCCTGACCACTGCTCCACACTGCTGCCCCTCCCTTTCTCCTGCTTCATCTCCTATTCTGAAAGGATCATCACATCACTTATCCCTCCTTCTGCTCTTAATCAGACACCCTGTTTTGTAACCTTACATATTTTAGCTCAGATGCTTTCTGTAAGAGTTCCTTCTCACAAAGCGTATCAGTAAAGGTGGAGTACATTGGAAAAACACTCAGAGACACCAATTCTTGAAACAATTTTGCATTTTTTGACGCTATTGTTTAATAGTTTATTAAGGTTTAATAGTTTATTAAGGTAGAATACGATGATGCGTGTGTCACATACATGCGATTATATTTTCAAATCGCCAGGAGGAAACTGCGTGAGCACAGTGCATATTTATATCTACCCCATCGTACGTCATAGGCATAACCACAAGACCGAGTATATATATATATTTTTTTTTCCAACATGTACGGTAAATGAGTATAGAGGAGGAGAGAAATGAGATCATCATCCGGGTCCTGTCGTTCCCTTGACGCTAAAGCAGTATTGCCTTCCTTCCTACAATGGGGACAATAACAAATGCAGTTTCACCAGACTTAGTGTGATTGGGGCAGAGATTCGCCCCCTCTAATCAACCTTTCTCTCCCTTCGGCATTTTGGCTCACTCCGCTGAGGAGCCAAAATGGCCTCTGTTTCATAAGCCCTGAATAAGGCGGAACAAGGGAAGGTAGGCGGTGCGGTTTTTACAAGAGAGGGGGTACGAGCGCCGCTGTGGATGAGGTGCAGAAAAACGGTGGAGCGCCAAAAAAAAAAAATGCTGAAGCGTGAGGTCGTTGCACGGGGGCCGGAACTGGAGATGTTCTGAGAATCCTCGCGTGTTCGGGGCTGACGAGCTTCGCATCGGGCGCGTGGATTCCGGTCGGCCGTTCTGGGCTCGGGGGAGGCGGCGCGCTCTCCGCACGGGCTTGTCTGTCGCCGTTGTGCAGCGGCGCTGGAGTCGGGAGGCTGAGCTGCCGCCATATTGAAGCGAAGCACTTAGTGACTGACTGGCTGGGACTGAAACTGACAAGAGATCTGAGCTAGAGAGAGAGAGAGAGGGAGGGAGTTGTTGGGGGGGGTTCGCTACTGCTGCTGCTGGTGGTGACGCAGGAAAAACACCCCAAGAGCAGACAAAAAAAAAAGCCAAGATACCCAGATCTTATTTTTTTATTTATTATTACAGTCCGATTTCACGCGAGACCGATTTTTGCAGCACGGCATCGTTGATGGAAAAATTAAACCCCGAACTTGGCTGAAAAGAAGACAAAATCACACAATCTGGGAGTACCCTAGCGAAAGGAAGAGAAGTCTTATCTAATTCCTGGTCAGTAAGTTGCATTGTAATTCTTTGTCACTTTCTGTTCAAAGATGAGAACCATTCTTCAGCGAGAATAAAAAAAAACCGGCCAGCCCGGGGGTTGCAGGGGGTGTCTGCGGGGACAGAAAGGAGGTCGCCGTCGCCCGTGCTCGGGGCTGAGCAGCGGCGGGGTGCTGTGTGGAAAGCCGGCTGTCGCTGTGTTTTTACTGTAAAGGAGGAAAATGGCTGACTGCTCCCCCCGTTTCTGTCCTGCCGGGGACCGACTTGGGTGTCGACCAGGCCGGCGGGGGCTGAAGCCCCTGCATGCCCGGCCAGGCGCGGTGTCGCCCCCTGCCCCCCCTCCCCGGCGCCCCGGTCCCGGTCCCGGGAGGTGTCGGTGCCGGACGGGATGGCCGGCGAGCGAGAGCGCCGCTGGGAGAGCGCAGCGCCATTACTGAGGTGGAGTGGCGGCGCTGGGAAGCGGGTAGGCCCGGCGAACGACGCCTGGAAATTAGGCCTCGGCGACGACTCTGGCCGTGAAAGCGGGTGCTGCGGGCCGGATCGGAAAGATTTCCGAAACGGGGGCGGTTTAAAAATCGCATCGCGGGGCTTCGCGACTGAAACCCCGCTTGGACTGGGTTTTGTTCGCTAGAAACGCGTTCTTTATAGACACTCGTTTGCAGCCCCCGTTGGCCCACCGAGGTCTGGGTTTCCTCCGCCGCCCATTCTTTTTAGTCAGCATTGCTTTTATTACAAATAAACAGCAACAAATATGTTGAATGCAGTTTCCGTCCCCTCTGGAGAAAACAGTTACGTTGAAGGGGCGGATCACGGCTCTTCCTTTTATTAGCCTGACTGAACCTTTGCATGTTTTGCCTTTTTCCTAGTGTTTCCTTTATTTCAGCCATCTCTGCCTACTAGTAAGAAGAGCCAGGCTTATGAAATAGGTAACTAAGTAAGTAGTCGACCTTTGTTGCGATTAGACAGCAACATTTGCGGTGCTCTAAGCTGTGTCTAGTTTTCTGTAACGATGACAGGCCTTTCTGTCGGTGGCTGGGGAAAAAAACGACCCCTTGACAACATCGCGATCTTAGTCCCTGCTGTGCTTCACCGATTTTATTTTCTGTTTCACCGGCCACATTGACTTCCTGTATGCAAAGGTGAATTGTGATGACTAGCCCCCGCAGGAGTGTGTACAGCAGCTGTTGACATGGGTGTGTGTGAACGTGTTTATGCGGATGAAAGCTCAATATCTGGGGGGCTGTTGTCAATGCAGTGTGACGCGAAAGGCAGTTCTAGAAAAGTGGCCCATGCTTCGTGATTTCCCCATAGCGATTCTACTTTTCGAGAGACTGGAACTACCTGTTTTTCCGTTTGTCTCCTTACCTCTTCATCCTCAACGCTTGTATCACCAGATCGCCGTGTCCTTTGGCATGTGAAGGCAAATGGCACAGAGAAACCTTTTCCTCACTAAAAGAAAAAAAACTCTGTGATTGGACCAGGTGTGAGAAGCTGGTTCTGATGACAAAGTGGTATTCGGTAGGATATTTCAGGTTGTGCCTTCTGTCCTTTTTGATTGCCAATACATAGGTTGGTGCTGGACGCTCCACAATGATGAAAAGGTTGCAGAAATTGATCTTTATCGACTGAGCTGTTGTTTTTCAAAATTCCACTGTGCTGTTACATGGTGCATATTTGGCATCCGGAATTGTGTGTCTGAATTAATAAGATTTATTTTGTTACTGGAAGAGAAATCTTGGTAATCTTAGTATTGAAGTAGGACGCAATTTAAGGTGTAGGTGTACGCCAAGCTTTCACTTTTAAGTCAGTATTGTTGTTTGGTCTTGTTTTGGTGAAGAGTTGGGCGTTTGATTGCACGGCTCAAGTTCAAAACTTCAAATTGTTGTCGGTTTCTCCTATTCGAAATTTGTAGGAGGGGAACTGGATCGCAGGTACTTTCCATGATCCTCATCTACAGAGAGTTATTAAGATTAGAAACTGAAAGAGTAGCTTGAAGTCTTACACTTATTTGCACAGGAAGTGAGTTATTCCCAGTGTCCCTTAATCATTTTAGAGAAATCCACATTTTATTAACCATACTTATCGGATGTGGGCAAATTGTCCTCGCTGTTTCTGACCAGCACTTTCTCCTCTTGGGTAAAAACATTGTTTGCAAACCTGTCCCATTTGGGTGAGAGTGGTGTGTTGAATGTGCCTTACTCAGACGATGCCTGCAAAGAAAGACTCTATGTAAGCTGCACAGCACTACAGTAAAATTCATAAAAACTGCAGGGCATGACAGATGTAACCCAAATGCCCTCTCCAGTGATGTGCAAGGTCCGAGCGATTCCTTAACTCGTAGGTTCCTTCACGGTGCGAAACCTCACAGAAGAGTGTGACCATGCCAAAAAGCATCCCTGAGTAAGTCTTCGACAAAGATCCATGTAGAGAATGTAACCTTTTCTCTCTTAAATTGGCTCAAACACAGGACGCCCTGCTGCCATTCTGTCTGGGCCCTGAAGTCTCCTTGCAGCCCTGGAGTTTGTATTGCATGTTGTGTTATTTGCTGGTATCCTGTTCCGGCACGAGTGGAAGCTGTATAGCAACTGGTCTGGACAGCTCCTTCCAGCAGGGGTTGCGGACGCCGGGGAAAGGTGCCTGAAGCTCTTTAATGGGTGGGGGTGGACCTTCATTGGTTCCGATTGAAATATCAGAATCTCTTAACCGCGTGAGGAGAAATCTGCGAAGGTATTGTTCCTCTCCGTTCCGTCAAAATGCCTGCATGTTTTTGTGACAGCGTTTCGTGTCTTTCAGGTTCCATTTGACTTCCATGTAAAGTGAAAATTCAGATGGAAGCGTCTCGCTTGCTTTCCTCCTTTCACGATGTGCGGTTACTGGCACAGCTAAAACTGTTCGGAGTTATTTCTGTTTTCTCTTGCTGTCTTTTTAAGTTTCCCCAGGCTTCACTTGAGCATTTCTCATCTTCAACGATGTAAGGGCAATACAGCTGGACTGTGGGAAAGAGAATAGACATGCCAATGTTTTTGTCTTGCGCCCATCTTCAAAAAAGCTGAGAAGCAATTAAGGGAATTCCGTCCGCTAGTGATCTGTAAAGAAAAGCCATGACAAAATGAAATGTTCAATGTGTCCAATGTCCGTTTTGCTCCCGGAATTTCGGCATTCTAAGAGCGATAAGCTGATGGCATTGTCATGCGTTGGTTACTGTAAGTGCGAGGGAAAACGTACATGAAGAGTTGTCACATAACATGAAAAACAGTGGGGATACTACTGTGTGAGAAGCTTCACAAGATTGTTTTATAGCTATTATCTACTCATGCCGTTTTCAGTCAATCAGTTTTGTTCTTTTATATGTGGCTAAGCAATATTCATCCGGAGAAGTCCTTTTAATTTTGTAATTGTCTGATAATGAAGAGTTATATTCGATTTTTAATGTGATTTAATTTAATCTATTTGATAAATGACGGTTAAACTGCAGGCCATATCTAGTGGCTGTACTGCATAGGTATTTTGCTGGTAAAGACAGCATCAGTCAAATTCAACGGCCCATCTCTGTCAGTTTGTCAGGAATTGATTAGGGGGCAGCAGTTTTTGAGGTTGGCTGTGGCTAAGGACAGGGAAATTGAGCTAGGTGTTGAATAGTGCATCAAGTGACTGCGTTCACACCTGCTGCCATAAAGCTAAAGCTCTCTGTTTCAGGGAAAAAAATAGCCCATTTTAAGAGATGTAGTCATACATGCTCTAGACATCAGAACTTTATTTAAGTTTTCAGAGACTATTGGATTTGCTTGTTTAGTTCTTACATTTAACACTTTCAAGCTCTTGTGTCACACTTCCTGGCAATCTGAACAACACTGCCCAATCATTACTAGATCTCTCTTTCATAGTTTTTTTTAAAAAGCATTTCATGGTCATAATACTTGATAATGTGTGAATATCATGGATTCTGATGGGTAAAAATGCTGCTCAAGTCAGGCTGGAGTGGGCAATGAGCATCCTGCAACAGTATCTTTTGTTGTTCTGTGTCTGTTGTGAGTGTTCGCTGTCTGTGTTTAGACTGTTTTCTTGAAGTTCAGTCGTGTTTCCAGACTGTGCCAGAGTATCTTTGCACAGTATGATATTCTGTCCTCCACCACCTTCCAAAACTATAGCCGCTCCTTGATCCGGGGTTTTTTGTAAGCATGAATGCTGGTGTTTATTGGGGCTTTACAAAAGAGACCGTCACTATCAGCATGCTGACTTTGGTTTGCAAATGTTTTCATGTAATATGGTGCATAAATTAAGGTACTTAAGAACATGGAGATCTAATTTGGGCATCTTATTCTCAGTGGTGTTTCCAAGCAATTAAGACCCCCTAAATCACAGGCAGAGTGCAATGCCCACAGTTTCCTCCACCACAAGACTACTGTCACACCGCCTGAAAGCAAATAGTGATGGGTTTTGTCATTGTTTTGATGTTTTGAGTAAGTTGTTCAGCTGGAATTCATGGCCATGAGTTGAGTAGGGCCCATAGTGAATAGTCAGAGTGACTGTGGGGGACACAATGTCGTGTTAACATGAAATAATCAGTCTTTGGGAAGCATTCAATTCATAATCAAAACCTGTAGCGTTGGCTTTTACTTAAAGAAGGTAATGCTGACACTGTTTCGTATGAAGGTCATGGATCATAACTACATGCTTGGCTTATTGTATGTATTTTGCTTGCTAATTGGTTTGTATATGCTTCATAACATCAATTAAATATCTAAATATAATGTATTTCAACATGCCATGCAAAAAAAGGCCCTGAATCCTGGAACCATGCGGAAACCACTTGATTGAATTGACAAATTTGCAGCTGGTTTGCGGTGGTGGTCCTCTGCACCTCGAGTATAATCGTTACACACTGGTGACATTAAAATTCCAAAATGTCTTTCTGCAAAGTCTTGTTTATGTGACCCTAAGCTGTATGCCTAGCTAATTGATAACCTTCCCTAGCCAGGCATTGTAGAAATATCCATTGTTGACAT